CCGGGGTGTGACACCTACACTGGGGTGTGACACCTACACCGGGGTGTGACACTTACCTACACCGGGGTGTGACACTTACACCGGGGTGTGACACCTACACCGGGGTGTGACACTTACACCGGGGTGTGACACTTACACCGGGGTGTGACACCTACACCGGGGTGTGACACTTACCTACAGCGGGGTGTGACACCTACACCGGGGTGTGACACTTACACCGGGGTGTGACACCTACACCGGGGTGTGACACCTACACCGGGGTGTGACACTTACACCGGGGTGTGACACTAGGTGTGCATGGGGTGCTGTCAGGCTGGAGCTGGGCGCTGCTGGGGCCGGTGCTAAAACATGGAAAACTGCAGCACCTTTGTTATTTGGCTAAAAGTATTGGGGTCACCAAGTCACGTCTGCCTCGCTCCTTACACTGTAATACCTCAGTGTGTGCGTGGGCCCAGTGACAACAACCCTCCATGGTCTCATAGAAATGAAACCAGACTTGAAATGTAATTTCAGTGTCCTTCCTCGGCAGGAGGGGGCTGTTGCTCCCTGTCACTGCCTGCGGTCTGTGGCAGTCTCTCCGACGCTGGGTTCTGCAGCGTGGGGCTCTGTGGAAGGCTGTGCACTTTTGCTGTCCTTTGCAAACATCTCCGTGTCTGGAATTGCTGTGTTCCGTCTGAAGGCAGACCCACCTCGGCCTTGTGCCCCTCGGCAATTTCACAGCAGAATACTTCTGGACGTGGTTTGGGTCACAGGTGCACAAATCCCCTGGAAGCAAAAGGGATACTTTGCTAGAAGTCCACAGCTTTCACCAGAGCAGCGTTTCCTGCTCAGCAGCAGCAGTGCTTAGAGTTAAATATTGAGAGTAACTAATAAGTGGTTTGCTGTGGTTTTTTCCCCAAAGAATTTCTCTGTTTCTAAATGTGGCTGTGAACTATTGATGCCTCTGTCACTTAGGGGACAGGCAATGCTCCCCACAACCCCCACAGCCGGGCAGCTCAGATTTGAAATGGCAGATTTGGAGATGGGATCAGGGCTGGTTGTACGAGGTGTTTGGAGATGGTGTCAGTGGGAGATGTGGGTCCAGCCCCCTGCACCCTGCCCTGGGGTGGGGACGCTCTCCTCTGGCAGAGCCGCTGGCAGCACCCAGAATGTGCCTGAGCATCACAGGCACCGCGCTGCCGGCCAGCTTCAGAGCCAGGGGAGCCTCACCCAGAGGATACGTGAGAGAAATGAGGAACATTTCCAGGAGTTAATATTTAATTTGGCTGCACTGGTGCAGGCAGGAATGTGCCATTGCTCTGGAAGCCCAGGGAGGGTGGGAAACTCAGGGAAGGAGGGGAGTTTCGCTGGCTCTTTGTCAGGCACTGGGATGATAACATGTAGGATTGAAAAAGAAAATTAAACTAAGTCCTAGGCCTGAAAATCTGCAACCTTCTTAAAACTATCTTTTACTTTATACCTGGATAAACTTAATAACGAAGAAAAAGAGGGCAAAAAGGCAAAGAATATGGCAGGAATGCCATTAGTAACATCACTTGTTTGGGATCTACCTTTTGAAAGGGAAAAAATGCCAAACAAAGCAAGTAAGTGTCTGTTGTTTCACCTGGTGCACTTTGCATTTACATATGAATTTTACTTCTGGGACTTACATGTTTTATTTTTTGAGCCATCCTCCTCCTCCTTTATGGCTGGACTCAAACAATTGTGTTTGGGATGAAGCTCAGGGATGCTGGGATGCTCCCACTCCTGCCCAGTGCCAGCCAGGCCAGAGTGCCCTCCCACTCCTGCCCAGTGCCAGCCAGGCCAGAGTGCCACAGCACAGCTCTGCCTGGCTACACAATTCCTCATGGAAAACACTAAATCCACCTAAACAACACAAGAAGGTGCAAAAGGGTCAGTTTATTATTATTTCCCACTGGGGATTAATATAAAAACATGAGAATCCTGATCCTGGTTCCCATACAGATTAACCAGAGGCTCCTCATTCTTTGCAAACAAAACAAAGTGCTCCTGTCCCTGAAAACTTTTACAGTCATTATTTTTCAAAACAAAGATGTGACCAAAATTTGGAAAAATAATAAGAAGGATGGAGTTGGGTGATTGGTCAGACACTGTCAGCTTTAATGGGAAAGAAATAAAGCTACTGAAATGCTTGGAACAGAAACCCCTTCAGCAGCACCATGAGATGGGCTGGCCTTGCTGCCTTTCTGAAGGAACTCATTATTTTAATCATTGCAACCTAAGAAAAACCTCAGGCTTTGGACTCTTGGGGAGTAATAACAAAAAAAAGGAAAAAAGCTGGGCAGTGTTGTCACCTGTCCCACCAGTGCTGCTCCCCCTGTGCAGCCTGGGGCTGGTGACACCTTTCAGCTCAATTCAGAACCAACACCACAAAGCAAACCATGGCCTGAGCAATAAGGTGCCAACAAGTGTGTCTGTGATCAGGGCTTAGTGAGCAGTTTCACTCCTTCAGCAGAGCATGAAGACTCCCCCTGCTGCATGTCTGACACCACAGGGAAGGCAGATGGGCCCGGCTCTCTGTTTATAGCCTGGGTAATCATTTCCCATTCAACGGGGGTGTTTGCTAGCACACTGTGCCCAGCAGTGCCAGAGCTGTATCAAGAGAAAGGAGAAAATCTCTCATTCCAGCCATGATTTTCAGACTAGACCAGGGCCCCTCTCCACAGAGGCCTCTTTTCTGATGGAGGCCTTGAGGATGTTGGGTTTCTGCACCGATAGCTGACACACATGGGAAATTTTATCTGTTTTATCTCTCTGGGTGAAACTTCTGGGTAGCTTTCACCCTCATTGGGGGTTTTACTCTGACCACGCTGCTGAGCCTCTGAAAAGCCCAGAGAAGGGACCAGGGTGCCTGTGTTCCACTTGGAAAAAGGCTTCAGGATGGGAAGGGTGTCCCTATCCCTGCCAAAACACCCAAAAGTCTGTAATAGGAATGGATATTCTCAGGTGACTATCCCAAATCCTAGTAAAGTCAAATCAGTGTATCATTTACTCTCTGAAATTGATTTTATTATTTGTTAGTGATTGAAATCGGGACTCAGGATTTGTCTTTCTCACCAGGGGCAGTTCTTGTGGCAGTCTCAGCACGGAAGCTGTGCAGACACAGAGACACGCTCCCCGCTATGCTGCCGGGGCTGTGCCAGGCCAGGGCTGTGCCAGGCCGGGGCTGTGCCAGGCTGGGGCTGTGCCAGGCCGGGGCTGCCTGGTACCTGCCACGAGCCAGGCTTGGGGGCTCATGGAAAGCTGTTCCCTGAGCTCCTGCAGTAGCCTGTAGGGCAGGATGGTGAATCCAGCAGCGCTCAGTGCAGACTGGGACACCGGTGCAGGAGCGGAAAGAAAGGACGGGAAATCCTGTGCATGGCCGTGCTGGCTGCAGCGCCCCTCGGCAGCGCTTCCAGGCTGCTCGGCTGCGTGCTGCACCTCCAGCTGCACCTGCAGCTGCACCTCCAGCTGCACCTCCAGCTGCACCTGCAGCACGGCCCGAGCTCGGGCGGCTCCGCTCCTGGCACGGGGCTGCGGGGCACAGC